TTCCTTCTCCCCACAAGTCCCCTTTAACTGTAGTTTCACACCCCACAACCCCCACACCCAAACCCCCACTCAGAGGGACACTGGGCTGTGTGAGGGGGTCGGACAGCCCACCTCTCACAATCAGCAAAACACTCAGGAGTCCAGACACCTGCAGCAGCTGCTGCAAAAAGCCATTTAGTGCATCACAAGCTGTATCTGTGACCCACAGAGCAGGGAATGTTGCATATTTACCCTCAGTGCTTTACAGAGACTATCCAGGATACAAGCAGAAAGGAACGTGGTATGTTGTCTCTCTAGGGGGTGGCAGCTCCAGTCCGGCCCCAGGGTGGGGGGCTGGCTGGCTTAGAGGGGTGGAGATTGGGACTTGGGACCTTTCCCCTCTAGGGGGCACCAGCTCCAATCCACCCTGGGGCAGGGGATGGACTGGCTGGCTCAGGGGGGTGGGGAATGGGACATGGGGCCTTTCCCCACTACAGGGCGCCATCTCTGATCTGGCCACAAGGCCTATGTTGACTATGAGCAGCTGGGCCCAGACTAACAGGGATGTCTGATCACATGTTTCCAGGAGCAGGTTGCGTAGCAGAAGGCTGTGGCTGGCCATGGGCTCTGTGTTGCTAGATTCCTCTCATGGTGTCAGTGATCCAGGGCATGAAGTGGGAAATCCGTGTGTACACAGCAGGAGGCGCGAAGCTGTTCTTGATGCCCTTGGAGACGATGTCCTCGGCCACTCCACAGCACACAAGCGGGCCTCCAGAATCGCCCTGTCCCAGAATAAGCAGGGAGATGAGTTTTAATGCACTGATCATACCCAGGACTCCAGGACTGTTTGGGCCATTAAAGCCAGAGCATCTTCAAAAAAGAAATGAATTAACACTGAAAAGCCCAAGATTGGGGATTCACAGAAACTAAGACCAGAAGCACCATTGTGATTATCTAGTCTGACCTCCTGTGTGATGCTGTATAAAAAGAAAGATGATTAGTTGCAATAATTCAGTTGCTATTGTTACAAAATTACAATCAATCTTGTACAGAGCATGTCGTGTAAGGTATCCTTGTAAAGGTTATAATCTGTTAAGTATGATTATCCTGTTTACATTCACATATCATGGTTGTGTCTGAAGTTATGAATATTGGCTAGGTGTGTCTCAAATATGTTTTGCTCTTGGGTGACACCCACCAGGCAGATTTACATCAGGACTAGCCAGCCATGTGTTGATGGCCCATTAAGGATATCAAGAGACCCCTGCAGAGGACTCCTGAAAGGCCATATGTACAATGGAGGCCCAGTGACTCAGCAAGGCATGTAAGGGGACATGGAATAAGGACTTGTGACCTAAGACTCCATCTTTTGCCAGTAACTTTCCATGCGCTTGGGCTGAAAGTATAAAAGTGGAGACAGTGACATCACTTCTTTGTCTTCATCCCCGCTTCACTTCTCTGGACTGTGATTTCTAACAAGGAAGCTTTGAACAATGGACTGAATGACCCCCGAACCTCTCTGGGTGATCCACAGAGACTTTCTGCAAGCTAGCCAACTTTCTGTCACTGCTATGAACCTGATCTTCAGACTCTGGAAATCACTTGTAATGTATATGATTCTTTTAACCATTTAATAACTCTCTTGTCTCTTTTATTTCTATAATCAAATCTTTAGTTTTTAGTTACTAAAGGTTTGGCTACAAGCATGATTTTGGAGTAAGATTGGAACTATAGCTTGACCTGGTGAAATGACTGATCCTTTGGGATTAGAAGATCCCTATATATGATGAATCTGGTTTTCCGTAACCTCTCATCATAAAGACCAGTTGCCTGGGTGGTGAGCCAAGGGCTGGAATGCCCAAGGGGACTGTGTTTTGGCTTCTTGTTAATCAGTGTGGTGAGAGAGAAGCTCACTTTGTTACTGGCTTGGTGAAATCTAATTATAGAATAAGCCACCAGTTTTGTGGTGTGTCTGCCCTGGTTTTTGTACCAGACTGTCCTGAATTTGGCACTCTCAGCTGTGACCCACACGAGGCCGGTATGACACTGGCCATGGGATGGTCCTGAACTAATTCCTGGTTGAACTAGAGCAGATCATTTAAAAAAAAAATCCAGGTTTGATTTTAAAGTTGCCAGTGATGGAGACTTTATCATCATAGCGGACACCAGCTGGTGGGACCCAACAGCTCTGCAGTGCTAGCTGGGGCAGTTCATGCCATTAGCTCTGGATGTCCCTGGATCAATCCCAGGTGTGTCACTCAAGATGTGTTCTGTAAATGGGGTGTAGGTGGTGGAGGTTGATCTGAAGCCTCTGAAGAGGATGGGACACTGGATGGTGCTCTGAGGTGATCAAGAGGATTCTCCCTCTCAGGAGCTTGCTCACACAGCCAGGGTCTGAGTGATCGACATGTTCTGGGCTGGGAAGGAATCTTCCCCCCAGGTCAGAGTGATGGGGACCTCAGGGGAGGGAGGGTTCACCTTCCTCTAGGGCATGGGTCACTTTTTGGCTGTTGGTTTTAGTGTGCAGGTGCTGGGTAGGATTGGTGGCCTATGATCTACAGATTTTCAGACTGGATGATCTGGTCTGTTCTGGCCATGCCATGACTCCTAGGAGGGGCTTGTCTAGGATTTGAAAGTTTGAAAGAGCCAGCTTCGGGCTGTCACCAGCCGTAGTGCACAGGAATTGGGTGGTGTCCCTGTCAACAGCGTGGGAGCCCTCCAGTGGGGCTCACAGTGTCCTATGTCCCCTACATTACCAGAACCCGAGCAGAGCAGCCGTGAGCTGGGACCCAGGCCTCATGGGTTGTGCATGATTAATGAATGTCATTATTTGGAACCTGTGTCATTCTTTCCACTCTCCCATGGCGTCTGAATCAGGCAGGGAGGGGCTGCATGATACCCCTAGCCAATTCGTGACAATAAGGAGGTGAAGGTGTCAATGTATGACCTGGGTGGAAGACTCTGCAGTAGGCTAGGCATGTTACCATGGTCTAGTCATTTAGGACTAGATAATCAACAGAGCTCAGGTCCCACTGCCCTTGTGAGCCCCGGCTGACTCCACAATGTGGCTGAGGAAGGACAACCCACAGCAGGAGCCCAAGCCAATCAGCCACTTACCTGATAAATTGACTTCTGGTCGTCCGGGTCCCCTGCACACAGCATGCTGGAGGGGTAATAGTATGGATACCAGTTGTAACAGGTCTCATCGTTTATCACCGACAGGTTCACTTCCTGAAGGGTGTTGGTTGTATCAGTCAAGCTGGTCCTCCCCCAGCCAGCCACACTACACATGGTCGGCTCACTCTGCAATGAGCAGAAGTCAAACCAATCAGTCCCACCTCCTTGGTCAGATGCGCCTTGTGATGCAGCTGTTGGGGCAAAGAGGAGAGGGGAATGAAACAGCCCAGGAAGTGCAGTTGTAACGCCGACAGACCCCGGTCGGCAGCGGGTGGGATCAAGCCTAGGATGTCTGGAGCTTAGTGCATGAGCATCTACCACATGAGCTAAAAGCCAACTGCCTGTTAGCTAAGGCTGTAGAGAAGACTCATTAATTGCTCTCTAAGTGGTCTCGGTGCCACTAGATGGGACAGAACACTACACCCAGGAGGTGTGTGGGTTACACAGTCAGAGCATGTGTGTGAGTGTGTGTGTCCCAGATGGAGACAACTCAGAAACTCAAGAGGCGGGGTGCTGGGTTGGGGGCGGTACCTGCTGCTGTGTGAGGTTACTGGGGGCGGGGTAATGGAATGGGGGCGGTTCCTGCAGCAGTGTGAGGTCACTGGGGGGGGGGGTGATGGGATTGGGGCCGTAGCTGCAGCAACAGGATGTCATTGTTATTATTGGTCATATTGTCATATTGTGAGTGGGGGATCTGGCAGTGCACTGGGATTTTCTGTTGGCTCCTTTCCCATATACCAATGTCATGGGCTTCCAGTGTAACAGTAAAAGCCAAGAGCAATACATAGAGCATTAGGGGCAGGTGGGGGATGGGCACATGTGGGTCCCACCTATGAACAGTGATATGGAGGGGACAAGGCAGCCTGGGGCTCTCAGGCTGAGATCTCAGACTCAGCTCCTGGCCTAAAATAATTATAGATGATTTGACCCATTGCAGGCTCCGATCCAGCACCAGGACTTGGGACTAGCTGACTCGGGGAGTGGGGAATGGGGCACGGGACCTTTCCCCGCTATGTGGCAATAGGGCCAGACCCCAGCTGGTGCCAATTTCAGTGAACGGCCATCAGCACGAAGTTATCTGACACCAGGAACTCTCCACAGTGAGACCTCTTGTCTCCTCATCGTTGTGATGCTTTGTACCTTGAGAGAAAACTCTACACCCCCATTTTCATCTTTATAAAATGACTATGTGGTATCCAATGCAAAGTTTGTCATGTTGGATGGCTTCGGACGGCTCATGATGCACTGAGCATGGTTGTTATAGTGATGTTACAGTAATTGTTACAGTGATGTTATAGGTTATAATTTCATGTTTAACCCCCAGTGACCGATAATATTGCTGAATATCTGACTGCCTTTGAACGGCTGTGTGTAATACATGAAATCCCTGATGATAAGAGAGTTCCTACCCTGATTGTGAAACTAACTGGTAAAGCTCGAAATGTATTCAGTGGAATGCCTGTTGACGACGCTTTAGAGTTTAGACTATTGTTAATTTAAAGATACCGTTTTGCAAAGTTTTCAGATTATCCCTGAAACATACAGAGTTAAATTTAGGAATCTCAAGAGGGATATTGGTATGAGTAAACACAGTGAAAGATTTGTTGGGAAAATGGGTGAGGGGTAAAGAGGTGGCAAGTTTTGAGGGAATGTTGGATCTTGTTGCTCTAGAGCATTTCCTGAGCATGTGTAAGGCTGATGTGAAGCAGTGTCTATGGGACAAAGATGTAGAGTCTGTGGATGAAATCGCTTTTTTAGCTGATGCCTTCGAACAGAATCAGGCATCTATTGAGGGCGGGCCAGAGGAAGAGGGGTTTAAAACTGGTTGAAGGGAGGATCCCATTTTGCCCCGGGGAAGAGAGAAGGGGGCTGGGAATCTAAACACTCTCTTACCCAAAAACATTCCTATAACCCTCATCCCAAATCTCCGGTAAAAGTAGAAGAGCCCAAAAGGTGCTATCAGTGTAATTCCACTGATCACCTGAGGAATAAATGCCCTGTGCTAGGAGGAAGCAGGCAAACAATAGCTCACATTAGTTCTGCTGATCTCAACACAGAAACCCCCCAAGTAATTGGAACCTATCATATTGGTTCTGTGAGGTTAGCCTCTGCAGAACCAGATATGGAACATGTTCAGGCTGTCCAAATTGATGGCAGTGAATACTTGGGGCAGAGGGATACAGGGGCCCAGATCTCTCAGGTTAAGCAGAGTGTGGTCCCAAAGGCCAGTATATTGCCTGGCCAAATGGCAGAGATTGTGGGGGTGGGTGAAAGCAGATTCCTCATGCCACTAGCTAAAATCCATGTGGATTGGGAAGGTTTGGAAAGTGTTTTGACTGTGGGGGTAATGGAACACCTCCTAGTCGACCTGCTCCTTGGTAATGATATTTTTCCACGTAGCTCAGGTTAAAGTATTTGCCTGCAGCAGGAGGGAGTGTTATGCTGGGACCCCCGAGGGAAAGGGTAAGGTCTCAGGAACTGCTGAGAGAATGGGAGAGTCTCCTTGATTCTTCTGCAGCAGGGGGGAAGCCACATGCTTCCAGGAGAGAGGGTGGTTGAGACCAACTCCTGCACTGCAGCTGGAGGCAACACCACATCAGGAAGGGATGGGGGTGTAATGCCTGCCAGGGAGAGACTTGTCCAGGTCGTTAGCTGCCAGCAGGTCGCAGCTGAACCAGAGACAAATCCAGCTCTAGGGAGCAGAGAGCAATGGGTCCCAGAAGAGAGCCCAGAGAAGGGGCAGGGGATCTCAGAAATCACTGGGTGAGGATTCCTGTGACTCTGTAACACAGGGAAGCAGGGTGCTTCCAAGTGTGGGAGGGGCTGAGACTAGCTCTTTAACAGAAGAAGGCAACATGCCCTCAGGCGCAGGGGCAGGAGAGGTGTTGTCAGGGATTAAGGAAACTGTCCCAGTTGTTAGCTGGCAGAGTTCAGCAGATGCACAAAAGATAGAATCCTTCCTAGGGAGCACAGAGAAATGTGTCTTAGGAAGGGGCCCGGAGGAGGAAACTGGGGAAGGAATAGTGGGGGTACAGGAATGTCTCCTCACCAGTCACTTGGGGCAGGATGCCCAGGACACTAGGAGGATGGCTGGGTCAGCATCTGTGCACCCAGGCACACAGCCTGTGACCCAGGTTTTGAGAAGGAACTGTGTAACTGACCTCCTGGAGGGGAGCAGCCACACAGCTGACTTCTCAGGGACAGAGAAAGGGGTGGCAGAGGGTACCCCAATCCAGGTCCTGGTTTTTCAGGATGCTATTCCTGATAAGTTTTTGGAAGGTAACTGTTTGTGTCTCTTTACATCAAGATGCACCTCCAATCCTGTGATAACAGAGGAGTTGAGACCAGAAATTGCCAGGTGGTAGTTTGTGAGAAGACAAATGACCCAACTGACAGAGAAGGGGGTGTTTTCCCCCAGGCTGGTGAGAGACAGGGAGCAGTTCTGGGAAAGCTGATGGGAAGAGGTGCAGCTGATCAAAGGGAAACACGCCTAGCCCAGAGAGCACAGATCACAGCCCTCTAGGGGGCAGGGAAGGACTCAGTGCTGGGAGGGGGAAACACAGGGTAACCCCAATAGGGGAGCTGGATTTCCTACATATGTACAGTCCTGGGCTTGGGAGACCGCTCCCCAAAGGGCCAGCCAATGTGCAGGATCCCCCTGAACACCTATCTTGCCAGACCCTGAGGCACCAAAGTTCCAGAAACAAGATTAAATTAAGAGCCCACACAAAGGGGAACACTGGAGGGAAAGAAAAGCCAGTGACTGATTACATGGGCGAGAGTCAAAGGACACCCTGGGTAATGAACAAACTAACTTCAAACTAAAATATCAGAACAGAGGGCGCGGTATCCTACAGATACTTGTAAACACCCAGCTGTGATAAAAATTTGGTATTAATGTTGCATTTTGGAGATAAGAATTTTGACATGGATGTTAAACCTTATGATAATACTACTTTTCAATTAATAACTGTAAAGAGGTTTAAAGCTTATCACAGCAGAGAGACCATAAAAAACCTAGTTTGCTGTGTGTGAATGGGGAAACTGAGGCATGCTGCCTCATGGCCTTAATGGCTGGATGGCAAGAGAAATATAACATAAACTGCCTTCAAGCTAGTCAGTGACTAACCCTCTTGCAGTAAATTAAGAGGGGAGGTGTGACGCTCTGTACCTGGGGGGAACCTCCAGCACCCCCAGGTTCATTGTAAAATGATTGTGTGGGATCCAATGCAAAGTTTGTCATGTTGGGTGTCTTCGGAAGGCTCATGATGTACTGGCATGGTTGTTATAGTGATGTTATAGTAATTGTTACAGAGATGTTATAGTAAGGTTATAGGTTATAATTTCATGTATATAGTTATGAGGCTGAAAATGTATCCTCATGGCTTAAGGCAAGCCCAGGCAAAAACTCTCTAAGAACAGAGAGACAGTTCACACCTCATCAGGGCAAGTATGGGACAAACCCAGCCCAACCTCACAGGAACAAAGAACACTGGCCTAGGTAGCAACAAAAGAATCTGTTAGACCCTCAAGGGAGTCACCCCCCTTCCTTTGGTGAGTTTGGGACTATGATGAGGTAATGCTCACCTGACTCTGAAGGGGGAGAGCAAATCCAAAGGGAAAGAAAGGACATGCTAAAAGGGAGCGCTATTTGGGAGGGAAGGGATAGCTTGGTGGTTTGAGCATTAGCCTGCTAAACCCAGAGTTGTGAGCTCAATCCTTGAGAGGGTCATTTAGGAATCTAGAGCAGAAATCTGTCAGGGATGGTTCTTGGTCCTTCTGTGAAGGCAGGGGCCTGGACTCAGTAACCTTTCAAGGTCCCTTCCAGTATTATGGTTCTATGACATTTGCCAGGCTCTCTCACCTCTTCCACCTACATTTACAGACACCACACCAAGCAACTGAAGCGCTGATCAAAGGGTAGATCCTGGCTGTAAGTTCAGCCTGTGGTGAGAAGCATCTAGGTTTGTAAGGACATTGAAAGTATTAAGATCAGCTTAGAATGCATTTTGCTTTTATTTCACTTGACCAAATCTGACTTGTGATGCTTTGACTTATAATCACTTAAATCTACCTTTATAGTTAATAGATCTGTTTGTTTATTCTACCTGAAGCAGTGCGTTTGGTTTGAAGCGTGTCAGAGACTCCCCTTGGGATCAATTTCTTTGTTAAACTGATGAACTCCTATAAGCTTGCAGCGTCCACCGGGCATAACTGGACACTGCAAGACGGACGTTCCTAGGGTTGTGTCTGGGACCGGAGATATTGGCTAGTGTCATTCGGTTGCACAATCCAAGGAGCAGCTTATATGCCAGA